GCACTTGAAATTTGGCACAGCGTACTGAATTAAGCCTAGAATGATGTGTGCTAAGTTTCATGAAAATCGGTTTAGATTTATATATAGCTCCCATGTATATTTTCGTCCGACTTAATGTAAATTGTGCACCAAAGTCCCTATATATCTTTCGATTTGCATGAAATTTGGCATAGAGTTCTGAATTGGGTCCAGAATTATGTGTGCAAAGTTTCGTCAAAATCGGTTTAGATTTATATATAGCTCCCATATATATTTTCGTCCGATTTAATGTAAAAGGTGTACCAAAGTCCCTATATATCTTTCGATTTGCACGAAATTTAGCATAGCGTAATAAAATTGGTCAAGAACGATGTGTGTTAAGCTTCTTGAAAATTGGTCCAGATTTAGATATAGCTCCCAATATATATTTTCGTCCGATTTAAGATAAACGTTGTACCAAAGTCCTTATATATCTTTCGATTTGCACGAAATTTGGCATAGCATACTGAATAAAGTCTAGAATGATGTGTGCTAAGTTACGTGGAAATCGGTTCAGATTTAGATATAGCTCCTATATAATTTTTCTTCCGATTATTTGTAAATTGTGCACTAAAGACCCAAAGTTTGACCGATTGCCACACAATTTTGTACAATGAACTGTAGTTAATATATACACTAATCACTAGCAAGTCTCGTTGAAATTGGTTCAGATTTAGATATAGGTGCACAAAACTCCTCATATTTATCAAATATTTATCCTAATAATCAACTGGTGTCCAATTGATATTTGCTTAAAATTGATGTACATACTTTTTTGTCCCATTGTAAGAAGCAACTCTATATCTGACCAAATGAAAAATTTTGTATCGGTTGCAGAATTACATGTTTATGGATCCAAATTAATTTTACTGGTTCTTCAAAAATGCGACGTCTGTTAGGATTTATCTGTTGAATATACCCAAAGTGGTGAAGGGTATCATATATTCGGCCCCGTCCGACTTTACTACTTTTCATTACTGGTTTAAAAATATTTTTCAATGGCCAATATAAAAAATAGTTTTAAAGTCCAGCTATAGGCGCAGATTTAATAAATAAATAGTTTTGAAGATCCAGTTATACGCTGAGATTTTTCCAGGTTTAGTTAAGTCCGTGTTCCTTTACAATTAAGGGTCTAACCATGGATTTTTTGGAAAATATTTACTGAAAATGATATTGGAATATATTTTAAAGATAATATTTTTGGAAACTTTGTTATTTTTTAAAGTATTTTAAAGGTATGCTACAACCACACTCATATGTTCTGAGTGTTCCAGAGAATTTGAAATAGTTAATGAAATATTACGAAAATAATTAATTTGATTATTACATCAAAAAATGTTATAATTATATATTATTTAATATGAGGAAATATCATTAATATAATAAAATAATTATTCAAAAACTTTTCAATGAAAATAATCAATTAGTCTGGAGTCTATTAAATTTCATTTTGAAGAAATTATATATTTAACATCATTTAATCATTGTCTGGCAAATTTGTAGGTTACGTGTGTGTGAGAAATGTGTTTGTATTTATTTTGCCAAATGATGAATACCATTCCATAGATGTATGTGTTATGCTATTTGGAATGCCAGAAATAAATTCCATTTAATTATGATTTCTAATCTATGTCAGACATTTCTTAATGACTACAAAAATTTGACTTCGTTAGCTGTCCATCGTCTCCCCCTCTTCTATAATGGATATAAATTTTATGTTACGAACTCTCAACAGATTGTCCATTAATCAATAGTCCCCTCTCGCTTTCTCGCACACACACACACACACACTCGTTATTATGTTGTGTGTTTTTATGGTATTTCATTGCATGGCTGGCATGTGTATTTCCTTCATTATCATTGAATTTGTTACCATACATTGACATTGAAGATCTTTGCTACATTTGTATGTGATTTTTTCCGTTCGATTATTTTTTGCTTATTAAAGCTGTGAAAATAATAGCTGGCATCCTTCTCGTTATGAGAAATCTGTAGAAGCAAAGTTATGCTGAATTATTTTCTTACATAAATGTTATTTTGTTATTATATTTACTTTATATATTAATAATAAATATACACATCAACATTAATATTAGTGAAGGACAAGAAAGAGAGAGAGAGAAATAAAGAAAAAATAAAATCCCTACAATCTCGGCATGATGATTGTTATTTATACAACTAAGTGTATTTGCTTTTGTACATCTGAAATTTTTTTTATATACCCAATGTGTATATTTACGTACATATATGAGTATGTGAGTTTTATTTGTATATCAAATATAAAAACACATGACTGCCAAAGTTGTACATTGGGTTAAGGGAAATTTTATAAGGATGGAGTAATATTTTTCTAAAGACTGGCTTTATTAGGCAGAGCGTAATGAATGAGGTCTAGAATGATGTGTGTTAAGTTTCCTGAAAATCGGGTCAGATTTAGATATAACTCCCATATATATTTTCGTCCGATTTAAGTTAAATGGTGTACCAAAGTTCCTATATATCTTTCGATTTGTATGAAATTTCGCATAGCGTACTGAATTGAGTCTAGAATGAGGTGTGCTAAGTTTCGTAAAAATCGGTTCAATCGGACGAAAATCTTTTGATTAGCAAGAAATTTGGCACGGTTTAATAATTTATATATATTTTCGTCCGATTTTAAGTAAATTGTGAATGAACAAAACTCCTCATGTTTATAAGATATATATCCAAATAATGCTTTAAATTGATTTACATATTTTTGTCCCATTGTAAGAAGCAACTCTATATTTGACCAACTGAGAAATTTAGAATAGGTTGCAGAATGACATGTTTATGGAGCCAATTTCATTTTACTGGTGATTCAAAAATGAGACGTCTCTTAGGATTCATCTGTTGAATATACCCAAAGTGGTGAAGGGTATCATATAGTCGACACCGTCCGAATTTGCTACTTTCCTTACATGTTTTAAATATAGGCGTGGATTTTTATACCCTACACAACTATGTTGTCAGGGTATTATAGCTTTGTGCAGCCCCAAAAGTTTGTAACGCCGCGAAATATTGGTCCTAGAACCACCTTTAAGTATACGGATCATCATATCTTGACTAGCTGAGTCGATCTAGATATGTGTGTCCGTCCGTCCGTCTGTCCATTATAATTTGTAAACACGATACAGGCCACAGTTATGGACCAATCTTACCGAAATTTTGCATGTAGGATGGGTTCTGGCCAATGAAGACCCCTATTGTTTTTGGAAAAGATCGATTAATATTTAGGGGATGAAATGGACCAAAAACTTTGTTTCTGTCGGTTTTTCTGGTCGCTTCAGAGGCCGCAATTATTGCCCAAGCACCCCGAATGCATGGAGAAGGGAATCGGACCAAAGAATAAGCATGCCTGTTTCGATAAAGGTCAGCCAATATTTAGCGGGTCGAATGGACCCTGACTTTTGTGTTAAAAAATACAAAATCTTTATTCTGGGGGCATATATACTTGCTCCTGAAGGACATTTACCCGAGAAGTTGATAGTATATCCAAGATGAGTTGTTGAACTTCAAATTAATACCAATATTATGAGTTATCCATAATTAGATAAAGGTGACTATGTGCCTAGTATTACTATTACTCCATTAGAGGACCGAAAATCTCGCGCTAATCGCTTTGAAATTGTACATGAAGTTCCGATTATGGTCAAGGACGACGCCTATAGTTTTCGGTGAAGTTGAGATTTCATTCAGGGGGTGCAATAAACAGAAAACTTTAATTTTGTCAGATTTTCTAGTCGTTCTAGAGGCAATTATTATAGCAGAACATCACATATTTTACAAGGTGAAGGGGATCTGACCAAATACTTAGAACGGCTGTATAGATGATGATCGGTCAATATTCCGAGGGTGAAATTAACAAAAACCTAAAGTGACCAAATATAAATAAGTGCAAATATCACAAAATATTACCCGGCTCAGAATATAGAACTGCAGAAAGTAAGCTTTTCGTGGTAGTTGTGTAGGGTATAACATGGTCGGCCCCATTCGACTATACTGCTCCGCTCACTGGTTTAAACGTATTTTTATTGACCAGCTATAGCCTTGGATTTTTAATATTTTTTTTAGCAGCTATAGGTGTGGATTTTTAATATTTTTTTTTTTACCAGCTATAGACGTGTATTTTTTTAATAATATTTTTTATTGACATATGGGTGTGGTTTTTAAAATACTTTTTATTGACCAGCTATGGGAGCGGTTTTTTTCAAATAATTTTTGTTGACCTGCAATAGGCGTGGATATTTTAAAAATATTTTTTATTGACCAGCGTAGATTTGTTACGCCTGGAATTTTTAAAAATATATTTTATTGACCAGCGTAGATTTTTTACGCCTGGAATTTGTAAAAATATGGTTCATTGATGCTATAGTGTGCATTTTGTACACATATTTTTTTATTGGCCAGATATAGGCTTAGATTAGGCGTTAATATTTTAAAAATATTTTTCGAGGTCTGCCAATAGGCTTGTATTTTTAAAAATATTTGTTCAAGATCCACCAATTGACATGTATTTTGAAAATATATATTTTTAAATATATTTTATTGACAGCATAGGTGTGGATTTTTAAAAATATTTTTTCAAGATCCACCAATTGGCGTGTATATGGGGTAATTATTTTGGGAAATCGCTATGATATCTAGTTAATTTTTAGTTGTGAATGGTTGTCATAATTTAATAATTTAATTTATTTTTGTCTTGGAGTTTTTTTATTTCCCCATAATTTGTAAAAACATAAATGACACAAACAAATCCCCTGTGAATTACTGTCCCACATTGCAAGGAAAAAAAAATAACGCAGTACTGTTTTTTATTGCCACGTCTGCATGATGTCCACATTGCGTCTCTCCATATTGATGATCATTCACACTGTACATTATATATTTTTATATATATATTTTATGTAGATTATGTATGTATGTTGGTATATATTATATATGTACATAAGTGTTCCACTTACCATCGTGGGAATCATACAGATAAATTATTTTACGCCAACCGTAAAATTGTATTGTATCGATGATTGCCTGATGATAGTCCGGACGCATACTAATGGCAAAGTCGAGAAAACCGGATGATGGTGTAAGCACCTGCAATGAAGCGAGAAAATAAATTATGAATAACTGTGTCGGATGTTTTGTTTTTGCTGCATATGTATGTATGTTTTTTTTTCGATTTTTTTCATATACGTACAAATTAATAAAATGTTTATTTGGCAAAACAAAATCAACAAAACAATTAAGTAAAATAAATATTAATTGAATGTTAAAATTGAGGTAAAATGTTAATTGATTACAAAGTAAATTTCATTGGAAAGATATACCAGAATGTGGCTAATAACATAAAATTTAGTGAATAAAAATTATTTTAAAAAAAATTAGTTTTTATTGAATACTAAAAAAAATAATACTTGTATAAAATATATTTCTATTTAAATATTTAATCAATTAACGATATAAATTTTTACTTATAAATAAGGATCTGATCCAGCAAAAATAAAATACTCAGATCATATACGTAATATATATGTATCAATACTATGTTCCAGTTGTTGTGCCACGGTGACGTATAATTTACACGACACCTAAAATAAAAAAACGTATACGCACTATTATACCCTTGACAACATTTCGTGGAAAATTTCTGTATATTGTATTTATCCTCCACCATCGGGTGAGGTTCATATTCAAATTGTATTTATGAAATTTGATACTTGATCCGAATAAAATTCTATGCCGATGTAGGCGAGTAAGCCAATCCGTTGAAATATCAATAGAGCTCGCAATATTTAAAATATAGCTTTGAAAATTTGCATATACCTTTTTACTTCTCTAAGGATTTTAAGTTTTGGAAATATGATATATCGGTTTAGATTTTTTATGGCCCTCGTCCTCTTTTTTTTTGGATATTTTGAAGATTTTAGTAGAATTTATGAAACAAAGAGTCTTTAAATTGATATTTCTTGAAGGGTGAAAAACATCTTTACAGAAAAGGCCATATTTGGGTATAAAGATTTCCGCAATGTCGAAGAGGTCCGGCATTTTCTTAACAAAGTTGCTGTAATTTGGCATTTTGAGTTCATGGAGGGCGACACAAAACTATGTGGCCATATAGGCCCTCATTAAATATTGGCCAGTGCTAGCCCCCAATTTTCGGTAATTTAAATGTCGAAGTCGCAATTTCTAAAGGAAGTAGCTGTAATTTCGCATATATTCAGTATTTTGGTGGTTGCATTTTTACAATTTTAAAAAGGCTTTAATTTGAAATTTTAGGTTCTTGGATAGAGACATAAACAATTCCAAAAGCTGCTCAATTCAATAAAGTCTAATTTTGGTATCTTTAAGGTTTCTGTGGTGTTTTCCCACAAAGATGGATGTAATTTGGCATTCCGGTTTACTGGAGGGTGGCTTTTTGCAGATTTTGACATTTTCCCAATCGAAAAAGCTGTAATTTCCCATTTCGGGTTCTGGGTGTAAACCAAGAACCTTGCAGACAATTTTCGATGTAGGCTACATATAAACATCTAGCCCCATTTTTAGTTTTTTTAGCTGAATATTTCACGGTTCTCCAGCGGAGTGTTGATAATTTAACATTAATGATTTTTACAAGAGAAAAATATCACTGCGGAAAATGTTCTCATAGGTCCATGTTCCCAAATAGACTCCATAAGGTTTACGCCAGTTTTCCATCCTGAATGTCGGTAATTTAGTATTTTATTTTCTCAGAACATAGACACCATTCAAAAGAAATTGCAATGATTTAGTCCCCATGGTCCCGACCAATTTAAGGAATTGCAAATTTTTATATCTTTGAAAAAATCGATATCCCCATGCTTAGGAAAGGTGTTTAGAAAAAATTTTGGTATCGGTCACAAGCACCTGGCACTTGTTCAAAACTAAGTTGTCAGGGCTTTGTGTCGCCGCAAAAAAAAAATGGCTCTATACCCAAATTTTAGTATACCGATCTTCATATCTCGACTACCTGAGTCGAACTAGACGTGTGTGTCCGTCCGTCTGTTCAATATAATTTGTAAACACAGAGTTATGAATTAATTGTCACAAAATGTTGCATGCAAAACAGTTGCATGATCCTTTAATATTTAGGCACCAAACACATTATTAAAAGCCGGACATCAAACATTTTGTATGGGGAAGGGGATATAGCCAACTTATTACAATGGCTGTTTCGATAATGATCGGTCAAAAATTCGGGGGGTCAAAGGTGTCAAAAAACAAAATTTAAATCGGAGAAGATTCCAGGATAAGAAGGACGATATGTTAACCTCTAATTGGCGAAGAAAGGCAAATATCGAGAAATATTTCCGCCGAATATAGATCCGAAGATAATTATAGTTCAGTAAAATAGAATACCATATGGTCGGTGTGTAAAAAAACTAAATTTAAATCGTATGGCGTAAATATGCACTACCATAAATATGATTCGGAGAAGCTTCCAGGATAGGAAGGAAGATATGTTAACCTCTAATTGGCGAAGGAAGGCAAATATCGAGAAATATTGCCTCCGAAGATAATTATAATTCAGTAAAACAGAATACCATATGGTCGGCCTCGTTCGACTATACTGCTCCGCTCATTTGGGTTTTCAACAATGTGGTCTTAGACCTTTTGTGCCACTATGTACTATTTACGGAACGTGATAATGATGGATTTTTTTATCCCTACAATAAAAATTCGTTCTACAATCAATAATAATTTATAATAATAAACTCCCATTAATTTCTGAAATTCTCTAAGTATGTTATATAACAAAAAAAAAAAAGATCCGTTTTAATAAAACGATTATTATATTTTTGACATCCATATCTTACGCCTAGTTATTTTCCTTTCCTTTTTTTTTGGCTCAGACAATCCGAACAAGATTGTCTGAGCAAAATTATTGTTTTATTTGTTCCCTTCATGGCAAATCCATTAAAAATGAAATGTTACATTGTTGTTGTTATTGTTTGCTGGTATCGCGCGGCTGCCAAATAATATCCCACCGATATTATTATGAAATATTTTTAAGCAGTTTATTTGTTTGTTATTAAACTAGTAAACCAGAGCTATTGGCAAATGGTTTTGCTGTAACGTTTTTATACCTCGTCCATGGCAACTTATACAGCATTATTGTTGTTTCTTCTTCTTCTTGTTTTTGTTAAAATAAATGGCAAAATCCACAAATCATAATAATTTTATGAAATAAATGACCATCCTCCGCGTGGAAAGCCCATGAGAAAACATTGGCCATATAAATCTAGGGTAGGATAAAAATTGTTACAAATAATGTGCGAAATAGCTAAGTGCGGGAGAGCGTGCATGGGGAAGGTTGTTACGAAACGGTCGACATCAAATAATAATGATGACATTTTGGATAACGATAATTTAATGACAATAAGTACAATTTCTGGAAAATGACAACAAGAAGAAATAAACAAAGATATAAAAGGAACCAAATATGAAACATTTTTATTTTCTTTCCCTATCTCGCGAAGAATAAAATATATTTCAACAATAACAGCAATTACTAGCCGTATCGGAGGAAACCTTTGTCAATTTATTTTGTCTTGTTGTATACATTTTTTTTGATCATGTCAAGAGTGGACAGCATTTTCTTGGAAAGTGACTTGTTAATAAAATATTTAGCAAACAATACATTCTCTTTAAATAATAAAGTAGGACCCTATAAAAATGAAAGGGATAGGGCCTTTAATTGCAATTTTTTGCAATTAAAGGACAGTTCCATACTTTTTTACTTGGGTGACAAATTTTCAAAATTTTGACCCGTTATGAGGGAGGTACAAGAAGTAGTAGTAGTGGGGGTCCCACATTTTAGCTAAATAGGTTGTAGAAAGTTTGGTTCAAATCGGATTTATTTTATTTTAAAATAAATATTCAGCAAAATTTTGATCCTTTTTTTTGGGGAGGTACCAGAAGGAGTGGTCCGATATCACCCATCTTTGAAGAATAGATAATAGGTTGTAGAAAGTTTGGTTCAAATCCGGTTTATTTCATGATATAATAAATTAAATTTTCAGCAAAATTTTGACCCTTTTGTGTGGTAGGTACCAGAAAGAGTGGTCCGATATCAACCATCTTCGAAGTTAAACGAAATCGTTTACTTTCTTCTAGATTTACGGAAATTTGTAACTCGATTCCACTTTGTCTGAAACGGAGTTGGTTCATTGAAACTTGGGGTGTAAACCAGTATTATAAAAAATATTCTCTCGGACGGGGCTGACCATATGATACCCTACACAACTACCACGAAAAGCAAATTTTTGCGGTTCTATATTCTGAGCCTGGGTAATATTTCGTGATATTTGCACTTATTTATATTTGGTCACTTTAGGTTTTTGTTAATTTGACCCTCGGAATATTGACCGATCATCATCTATACAGCCGCTCTAAGTATTTGGTCAGATCCCCTTCACCTTGTAAAATATGTGATGTTCTGCTATAATAATTGCCTCTAGAACGACTAGAAAATCTGACAAAAATTAAAGTTTTCTGTTCATTGCACCCCCTGAATGAAATCTCAACTTCACCGAAAACTATAGGCGTCGTCCTTGGCCATAATCGGAACTTCATGTACAATTTCAATGCAATCAGCGTGACATTTCTGTTCTCTAACGGAGTAATAGTAATACTAGGCACATATTCACCTTTACCTAATTACGAATAACTACCACATCATCAACTTCTCGGGTATATGTCCTTCAAGAGCAAGTATATATGCCCCCCGAATAAAGATTTTGTAATTTTTCACATAAACGTCAGGGTCCATTTGACCCGCTATATATTGACCGATCTTTATCAAAACAGGCATGCGTATTCTTTGGTCTGATCCCCTTCTCCATGCATTCGGGGAAAAACCGACAAAAACAAAGTTTATGGTCCATTTCATCCCCTAAATATTAATCGATCTTTTCCAAAACCAATAGGGGTCTTCATTGGCCAGAACCCATCCTACATGCAAAATTTCGTGAAGATTGGTCCATAACTGTGGCCTGTATCGTGTGTACAAATTAGAATGGACAGACGGACGGACACACATGTCTAGATCGATTCAGCTAGTCGAGATATGACCGTCCGTATCCGTATACTTAAAGGTGGGTCTAGGACCAATATTTCGCGGCGTTACAAACTTTTGGGGCAGCACAAAGCTATAATACCCTGACAACATAGTTGTGTAGGGTATAAAAAAATTCTCACCTTCCAAGGGTCGAAACGAATAAAGTCTTCAAAATACCGAAAATGGAAGATGGAGGGCATTAATGTATTTCGATTAAAATGAGGCTATAACTTCACTCAAAAATCTAGGTAGGTAGTCCAGGCATCACTTCCCCGTGTCAAAATTCGGGATAATTATCACCCTTAGAGCTACAAGAAAAAAAAGAAATAAGTTTTTGGTCATAACCGAACAATTATTGTCAATTATTGCGATTAGATCGGCGAATACGCATAGCTCAAGATATGTAAGGTTCATCTAGGACTAATTTTTTTTGTGATGATAAAAACTTTTATCCCCACAAATACATGGATGAACGTTGAATCCAGTTTCATATAATTTTGACACACTTTAATATTTTTCTAAAGTCAAAGTTCTAAAATTGTATATGTGGGTCAGTATTGGTGCGTTAATGTGTGATAATTCGGGGTTCGTATTCGGGGTGGAAATTCGTACTATATGGCTACGAAAAGAGTACTTGAATGCACTAAAAATACGATAGCATTAATATTGTGCAAGCGGAAGGGCAAACACTAAAATTTGTGCTTTCCACATAGAGCTTAGAGTTTACGTACTAATAGTGTACGAAATGTACTAAAACGTAGCAGCTTTTTTTGGTATCGAATAAAGAAAAAGTTAAATAATCAAATTTCGTTATGTGGGATTCGGTTGGAATCGGAAATTCGTACGGAAATTCGACCTTGTAGTACAAAATGTTTCAAAAAGATCAAGATTTGGATTTTTTACTTTAAAGGTATGCAAATTAATTAATTATTTTTGTTTGGTGTTCGAATAGAGTTGAATTAGATTTGAAAAAAGTCCAATGAATAAAATCAAAATTTTAAATATGGCGAACATCTTTTTTAGAAAATATAATCCATTTGTAATATTACAGACATTCTATTCACCTGGAAATATTTTTTTACTTTTCCTACAACACCCTATTCAAAATTTTACATTCATCTTCTTATGTCAAATCTGAATTGAAAATTGTTGTCACATCGCTGACATTGACACAAGTAATAAATCATTTGGATATAACATTTCAGCCACGGGGAATTTTGTTTGTAAATGAAAAAAAAAAACAACCAGACTTCAGTTCAAATACATATATATGTATTTAAAAAAAATCAAAAAAATATTTTTTAAAGGAAAACAAAAAATAAAGAAATTCATACTATTTTAATCAATTTTATATTTGTTAACAATTTTTTGTATTTATTTTACTTACTTTTTCCGGAAACCAGGGCGTCACAAATGGCATTTGAAATGTGTTGCTGTACGAATGCAGGGTGTCAAAAGAATCCGGCGAAACGGCGCCCAACATTGAGTAAACGCCTCGTGAAAATTGATTGCATACTGGTTTCGTGGGGGTCGTACACAGAAAAGCCACAGATGAAGGTTGCATTTGATGATGATGATGGATCCGATGTGAAATGGCAAGAAAACCAAAAATGAAAAAAAGAAACACATTCAACATAAATATCAGTGCAAATCAAATACACGCACTTTAATTCATACAAATTGGCTTGGTCGCAATAGCTGCAAGCCTTTTCAAAAACAAAACCAAAAGCAAACCAATGAGCGGAGCAGTATAGTCGGTCGGGGCCGACCATATGATACGCTACACAACTTCCACAAAAATGTAAGTTTGTGTGGTTCTATATCTGAGCTTGGGCAATATTTCGCGATATTTGCATCCTCTTGACCGACTAGAGGTCAAAAAATATTACTAATATTCAGTGTAGCCCTTCTAATTAATTGTCCTTCACCGTGGATTGTGTTGTGATGTTTGGCTTATAATTGAGGCCTATTAATCGACTCGAAAAAAACACAAAAATTAAGTTTTCGGTCCACTTCATTCCAATATTGGTTTCTGATCATCACCAAAAAATAAAGGCGTTGTCCTTAACCATACCTGGAACCTTATGGAACATTTCAAAGTGATCAGCGCCATTTTTTTTTTTGCTCTCTAGAGTGGTAATGGGTTACTAAATAATATATGAATACGTAGGCACCTGTAAATATTTAAGTGTAACTCCGACATTCGAGTATATACGAAAATATAGTTGGTATCAACTTAAAGGTCAACCACTCCTCTTGGATATTCTATCAACTTCTCGGGCTTATGTCCTTCAGGAGTAAATATATACGCCATAGAATACAAATTTTGGAATTTTTCACACAAAAGTCAGGGTCCATTTGACCCGCTAAATATTGACCGATCTTTATCAAACCAGGCATGCTTATTCTATGGCCCGTTCCTCTTCTCCATGTAAAAATGTTTGGGTCATAATTGCGGCCTATGGAGCGACCAGAAAAACCGACAAAATTAAGTATTTGGGCATCCCCTAAACATCAACCGATCTTTACCAAAAAAAATAGGGGTCTTCATTGGGCAGAACCCATCCTACATGTAAAATTTCATGAAGATTGGTCCATAACTGTTGCCTTTATTGTGTTTTCAAATTATAATGGACAGACGGACGGACACACATGTCTAGATCGACTCAGCTAGTCGAGATAAGACGATCGGTATACTTAAAGGTGGTTCTAGGGCCAATATTTCGCCCCGTTACAAACTCTTGGGGCTGCACAAAGCTATAATACCCTGACAACATAGTTGTGTAGGGTATAAAAATATGAAAAGAAAGCTTTCACTCAATCAAACACACAGACACACACACACAATAGTCATCGACCCAAATTCTATGATGGAAGAGAAAGAGAAAACAAACAACAAATAAGGGAAATGAAATAAAGGCCCTCCTCCCTTCCACTTCAAACTCCCTACAATGCCCCCTTTTCAGCACAGGAAAAAAACATGGCACTGAAATCTGTTACAAATCTACACGAGAAGACAGGAAAATAATTAAAAGCAAACATAAAAACGGAATTATACAACAGATTTCAATACTAAAAATAGAAAAAAAACAGATCCAAAAATAGGACAGTTGGAAAAAATGCAATGTAATTTTTCACTGTGTCTCAGCTCGTTCCAAACACACAATCAGGACCTTAAATATAATTAATGTTAAAGCGTGTTATGCGTATCATGACAAGCGACCGACAACGACGACTACGTCGACCATGAATGACGTGGCCGCCACAGTTCATTGTTCCACGTTCCTCATGGCATAAAAGTAATGCAACTTAAAAATGGAAAACGGGGAGAAACAAAAACAACAAAAAATGCTAAAAGTATACGTGCGTGTTTTTTTCTTTCTCTCTCTTTCATTCGTTGCAACTTGACCTCATTTCATCTCAGGAAAAGTACAAACAACAGTAACAACGAAAAATGTAACATAACATTAAACTTAATGGAAAACGCAACGTACTTAAACGCGATAGCTTAAATGCATCCGCTGTGTTAATGACATCCACGTAGGCCTGCAATTCGAAGCGCCGCGAGGATACATTTAGATTGTGATTTAACATGGCATATTTGAAGGCCGACTGAACCTCATCTGTTCCTTGTTCAAAGATGGCACCTGTAATGAAAAAAACAGAAGCAGATACTCATAAGTAATTGACAAATAAACAAAATGAGAAAGAAACAAGCGGATAAATATCAAAGAAACCAGTAAGGAAAGTAGTAAAGTCGGACTGGGCCGACTATATGATACCCTTCACCACTTTGGGTATATTCTACATATGTATCCGAAAAGAGGTCGCCTTTTTGAAGGAATTTTGACACGAAATTGAACGAACTTAAATATGTGATTTTTATGTCTTTCTAGAACCTATGCTAAATTTCATTTCAATTGGGCAAGTTTAGAGTCGAGGGACTTTAGTGGACCGTTTACCTAAAGTCGGGCGAAACTATATATGGGAGCTATTTGTAAATCTAAACCGATTTTCACGAAACTTAGCACACATCACTCTAGACTTAATTCAATACAATATGCCAAAATTCGTGCAAATCAAATGATTTTCAGGGACTGTGGTGCACCATTTACCTAAAATCGGGCGAAACTATATATGGGAGCTATATCTAAATCTGAACCGAAACTTAGCACACATCATTCTAGGCCTAATTCAATAGGCTATACCAAATTTCGTGCAAATCGAAAGATAAATCGGGCGAAACTATATATGGGAGCTATATCTAAATCTGAACCGATTTTCACGAAACTTAGCACACATCATTCTAGACCTAATTCAGTAGGCTATACCAAATTTCGTGCAAATCGAAAGATGTTCAAGGACTTTGGTGCACCATTTACATAAAATCGGGCGAAACTATATATGGGAGCTATATCTAAATCTGAACCGATATTCAGGAAACTAAACACACATCACTCTAGACTTTATTTAGTACACTATGCCAAATTTCGTGCAAATCGAAAGATATATAGGACGAAAATCGGACGAAAATATATATGGGAGCTATATCTAAATCTGAACCGATTTTCACGAAACATAGACCTAATTCAGTAGGCAATAACAATTTTCGTGCAAATCGAAATATGTATAGGGACGTTGGTACCCACTTTTACATTAAATCGGATGAAACCATATATGGGAGCTATATCTTAATCTGAACCGATTTTCTCCAATTTCAATAGGGTTTGTCCTTGGGCCAAATAAGTGACATGTGCCAAATTTCATCCAAATCGGATCATAAATACGACCTGTACTTTGTTCACAAAAATACATGGACGGACAGACGGACGGACATGCATAAACCGACTCAGAAAGTGATTCTATGCATATTCTCAAAAGGAGCCATGGGTCTATCTCGATTATTTGTGCCTGTTACAAACATATGCACAAAGACATAATACCCTGTACCACAGTGTGGTGAAGGGTATACAAATTGTTCGGTCACTATTATAAAAAATATGTTACAAGGACCCAAAGGATTAAAAAACTACTATTATTATAGGCTTGGATTTATAAAAACATATTTTTAAAGGGGTAGATTTATAAAAAAAATTATTGTTATACGTGAGCACATAATGACCAGTTGTCGTTGCAAACAACTCCGCGATTCTATTAAAATAATGTGTTTTCAAGACCTTGAATTGGTAAAGTTTTCAAATTATTCCACACCATTATATGTTCTTTTAATTTTCGGGGCACTATTTCATTTTATCAATGGATTGGTGTTTCATTCCGCCTCACCCTCCCCCACAAATCATTTAAAACTTTATGCATTCGAACTTTTACAGCGTACACACTAATTATTCAAGAATTTCATTTGACACAGCATAGTGATGATGCCTCCCTATATTTACAATCTCCATTCCAAACTACCATTCAAACAGCAATCAACGAGAACGAGGGGGAATTACGAAGGAGAGCGAGAAAGAAGAATTAAATTCCCATTGTATTGGGTTACGTTTATTTTTGTACGAATTTCATACAATGTTAGGCAATCGTAAACGAAAGTTATGATGAATATTTCTGTTTCGTTAAAGTTGTTGATTGTAGTTCATGTTGTTGTTGTAGCCGTTGTTGTAGTGGTATAAACGAAACAATTCGTTTTGGCTTCGCAAACCATTAAAACTTTGGTCAGTATGTAACAGTTTTACTTTTTATGGCCCCAATGGATCACCGAGAGAGCCAGGGTGGAAGTGGTAGGGAACAGGGTTTGACGAAAGGATTGAACGAGGAGCGGGTCGGGTGGCATGGTAACAGATTCTCTGGATTGGCATACATCCTTTGGCTCGCGGTTTTTATTATACAACAAACCTGAAAAGTGTTCCGTGTAAAAATGAGAAATGTTACAGCCATTCATTGTTCGTAACATCAGTCAAAGTTCAAACTAACTTCCAGAGTACCAGACGAGAACAAAAACTAGTAAAAATATCCATACAACAATACAATAATCAAAAAGTTTTTTTTATGTTGAACTTTGTGTTTACCACGATTTCCATTTCACTCTGTACATCACTCGGCCGAGGCACAGTGAAGGCCACCATCAAAATGATGGAAAAGCAAATTAAACACAAAGGATTTTTGTAGTTAAAAATTGTTTTGTTTGTCAGTTGGTTGGTTGTAACAACAACCCGCATTGTTGGTTGGAATGCTGGTTGGTGGGCTGGGTTGGCTTAACAGCTCGTTCGCTTCGATTCGCTTTTATTTGGTATAAAAATGAAATGAAAACAACAACAATGTGAAAATTAATTGAGGTTTTCAGTTTTTCGTTATGGTTTTATTTCAGAATCCGGACTGTCCGGAAGAGTATTTGTATGGAATTTTTTAAATGGGAACATATTAGTATGGAAACGCTTTAGGATAAAACGGAAACTGGTTAAAGTTTTGCCATATAAATTGGAACATTTGATATGTACAGCGGTAAATTTCAAAATATTAAAGAAACAATCAAGCTTTTTTTAAGCTCTTGGAAAAAAATACTTTTACAAAATTCTAGTCCTTTGAAATATTAAAAAAAAACTATTATAGAAAATATTTTATAATGTATCCTCCCAATTAGAAGTTTCTTGAAAATATATATTTTTTAAATTCTCCTCCTAAAATTCCCTTTAACTTTTGTAATGAATAAAGGTCTTTAGAAAAATGGAGAACTTACAGTAAATAAATCCACGCCATAAGAAGGCCACATTTTTTTTAATTACGCCTTTAGAAGTTATTTTTTCTTAGCTATTTCATAGTAGGTTGGGTTTTCCGCGAGTGGGCAACTAACCCGACGCCTCAACCCATTTTTTTATAGTTCTTATGGGTGAACTCGCGGCACAAGGTCAGCAGTTAAAGTAGGAAAGGACCTATCGGAGCCCTTCAATACCGAACGAGGATTCAGACAAGGTGACAGTTTGTCGTGTGATCTTTTTAACATTCTACTGGAAAAGGTCATACGAGACGCAAAGGTGAACGCCGATGACATCGATATAATGGGTCGAACATTGCGAGCGGTAACAACCACCTCTGCAGCTCTTGGGGTGTTTGAGAGAAAAATTCTCCGAAAGATCTACGGGCAGATCTGTGTCGACGGTAAATATCGGCGTCGAATGAACCACGATTTATACGCGGACATCGACATAGTCAGTCGTATTGAGCTGCAGCGACTACGGTGGCTAAGCCATGTTGTGCGGATGAATGAAGATGCCCCAGCTCAAAAGGCATATAAAAATGAGCCTACTGATGGTTCCCGTAGAAGGGGAAGTCCACGAATTAGGTGGAAAGACCAAGTAGAAAACAACATCTTGGAACGTGGTCTTCCAAATTGGTGGACTTGCGCACAAGACCGACGCGCTTGGAAATCTTTTTTAAGCTCGGCTTACGGAACAACCGTTCTGTAACAAGCCAGTTAAGTAAGTAAGTAAGCCTTTAGAAGTTTCTTCAATATAATTTTTAAAGAAAGTCTTTGAAAATATTTTGTTAATCCACACATTTAAAATCCTGAACCAAAATCCTAATCATTAGAAAGATTTTGAAATTAATTAAAATATTTAGTTGGTCTTTCAAAAGTATTAAAAAAAATCAAGCCTGCTATGGACTTTAAAAAATATTTGTAATAATCTCACGCTATAGGAAGCACCTTGAATTTTTATTTTTTTATATCCAACCACGGAATGTCCTTAATTGTATATGGTTTAATCCGCGATAATTCATCAATTTAGAACCAGTAAGCGGATCGTTATAGTCGGACGGGGCCGACCATACGATACGCTACACAACTACCACGGAACTCTAACTTTTTGCGAATTTTTATTCCGAGCCTGGGAAATATTTCGTGATAGCTGCACCCTCAGCACCTCTTCCTTACACTGACATATTTTCCGAATATTAATAACATTCAGTACAGTCCTTCTAATTACTTGTCCATATTTCCTTCGCCGTGGGTTGTGTTGTGATGGTCGGCCTATAAATGTGGCCTATGGATCGACTCAAAAAAAAAAAAAAATAATTCCAAGAAATTAAGTTTTCGGTCTACTTCATCCCAAAATTATTATCTGATCATCGCCGAAAATTATAGGTGTTGTCCTTGACCATACCTGGATCCTCATGGACTATTTCAAAGACATCACCGCTATATTTCCGCCCTGCAGTGTGGTAATGGGTTACTATACAATATAAGAATTCGTAAGCACCTGTAAATATTTAAGTGTAACTCCCACATCCGAGTTCATACGACAATATAATTGGTATCAATTTAAAGGTCAACCACTCCTCTTGGATATACTATCAACTTTTTGGGTCGATGTCCTTTAGGTGTAAATATATATGCCATAGAATACAAATTTTGTAAATTTTCACACAAAAGTTAGGGTCAATTTGACCCGCTAAATATTGACCGATTTTTATCAAAACAGGCATGCTTATTCTTTGACCCGATCTACTTTTCCATGTAAAATTTCGCGATGTTCGGGCCATAATAACGGCCTCTGTAGCGACCAGAAACACAAAAATTATATATTTCGTCCATTTCATCCCCTAAATATTAATCGATCTTTACCAAAAACAATAGGGGTCTTTATTGGCCAGACCCCATCCTACATGCAAAATTTCGTGAATATTGGTCCAT